CATCAAAACTCCCACTAAGATAATGATTAGAATAACTATTGTACTGTAATGATTCTTCATTGTCCGCTAGATGTCTGGAGGTAGTCCTTTTATCGCATTGGTGAAATGATGTTTTCCTCCAGCGTTTGTGATATAAAAAGTATCAAATTCCTTGTTCTCTGTAGATTACATTTTTGAGCAAATAATGTTTATGGTGTGGATTTCTTTCTACCTTCACATCTCAGTTTTCTCTCTAAAGTGTGAACACAAATGTCTTATTGTCTGCGGTGTTCTACAGTAATTGAGAATATATTAAATACGGAACATGCCACCTCGAGCCATGTCCTATTTTTTGTCAGCAATTTACACACCCTTGTGAAGAATGCTGTAAACACAATATATTCGCTAATGACACCACTCACCAATTCATCAGACGCGGCACTGTCATGCCCCGACTCATTTATCTTCAAGTGTTGCTATTTTAGCTCATTTTTTTGCTTCATTGCGCCCACCGACGTGACACCTTAGGGCGATTCCCACACTTTCAGTTTGGTGCAAACCGCACGTAAATGTATAGAATAAAGATTGAAGCCGCGAGCTCGTAGTGAATGAAGTGCTTTGATTTGGAACTGTAGTGAAATAATAAAAAAAAAACATGTCTTTAGAATCGTCGAGCTGTGGGTGTTCATTATAAAGCAATAACAAGAACGTTAAAGTAGACTAATATGTGTAACCATGGAAACCGAATCTGGTGAGAAATAAATTTCATACACACAGTAGGTCGTGAGGAGTCATTATTCATGCTTCAGATGTATCTTATTTGCGATGTTTCATTTAGTTGTTTTGAAAAATATTACATTGAACACACACAAAACACAAGCCATTCATAAACATCTATTAGGACAGTAACTGTTATGTATGGATTTGATTTGGCATCATATCGCCTGATTTTGCTTCAATATTTGAAGTCACTCTCATTTAGATAACATCCATTCGACATAATGTACTATTATCGACGTGGGTTGAAACACCTCCCCCCACGTCCCGCCCACGTAAATTGTTCTATTAAAGTTGGTGTTATTGGGTAACAACGTCTAAACTGGCACTGCAACATTATACAAACATGTATTATTAAATCTCTACGTATAAATATCTCGACGAATCTCCCGTTTTTATTCGTTCTATTGCAAACCAGTTTTGACAAATCCAATCCCCAATCGAACACACACATATATATATACTGTATTGAATAAATACATACACACTGATGAAAAAAGGCATTACATCACATTACATAACATTACTGTAACCATTGCAACGCACACCTGAAATCGTCCAGTAAAAATAGGAGCTATTGGGGGTAACAATAAACATATCTAATAATATTCCCCCACGATCTATCGCGTGCGGCAAGGTTCTAACTTTGAATCATACGTGTGTTCAGTCTGACGATCCCTATTCATGCATTGAAAGACGCAATCGTTAATTCCATTTCATGTTTTGCGATAGTAACCAGCCAAGGAACTGCATACAATAAAATTAGAGGAATATTTATGTAGATCTTTTTATACAATGCCAAGATGATTCCCAGAACAACCTCACTGTACTTTCTAACTTACCATTTCACAGTAAGCTAAATATACACTGCACTCCCAGCGATCTTTCAACCCTTGAGTTCGGGTAGTGGTGTTTCCAGGTCAGTGAAACATTCCTATTCTAAATCTGGGAGCATTTGAGTTTCAATTTGAAAACTAATGCGTTCGTCCTTGTCTCGCAATAGTATAATAATATTAGGCTATAAAATACACCAATACCCTTCCACTAGATTAGAAACTACGTTACAATTTACTGTACGCTAACTGTGATGTATCTCAGATACGTCATACACATAGATACAGTATGTATTTCATCAAAGGACAATTCATTTAACAATTATGGCTCACCTTTGCCCTCATCCCATCCTAATGGATATCGTAATGTGGATATCAAACCCGGATCTGGCAGTCGGAGTCTGTGTATTTGGGAAGGCCAATCAATTATCGCGACAGCTGGAAATTGTTTGCATTGATATTGATGACAATCAAAAATGTGTATCCATATAACTAATGTGTCGTGCCATGTTTGTACTTTGTTCTTCATGCTTTTCATGAACTAAACAGTGTAGTGCAGTGCAATGTAATGTAACGTAGCGTAGCGTAGCGTGGCGTAGTGTAGTGTAGTGTAGTGTAATGTAGTGTAGTTTAGTGCAGTGCAGTGCAGTGTAGTGTAGTGCAGTGCAGTGCAATGCAACGTAGCGTAGCGTGGCGTAGTGTAGCGTAGCGTAGCGTAGCGTAGCGTAGCGTAGCGCAGTGCAGTGCAGTGCAGTGCAGTGTAGTGCAGTGTAGTGTAGTGTAGTGTAGTGTAGTGTAGTGTAGTGTAGTGTAGTGTAGTGTAGTGTAGTGTAGTGTAGTGTAGTGCATGGCTTAAATCTCTATAACGCCTTCTGGCGAAACCTAATAATAATATTTTCCCAGGACCACTAATAAAAACGAAAACACAATTAGCATCTCAATTATTATTAGTCACTTGGAAAATCTTATTTGCTTTGCTGATGCTTATGATTCGGGACATGCTGGTAACAGTTACAATGCGTCATGGTAGGTTTAATTACGATTACTGGTTTACCGTGGTGCGCTTTCACAAACTTGTTTAAACTCGTATCACTGTTAGCATGAGCTTCACGATGATCGGTTTTATAATGAGTTGAACATCCGTTGATTAAATTTAAACCACCGGACTCCACACAATATTGCCTCTGGTTATTTTTAGTATTGACAGCTGCCGTACGTCATATTAAGTGTAATACATTTGACGTGTGGGCAAACCGAGTTAACAAATCTTTATTTATGTATCTCCGTTTACTGATACGACTGCCCGATAACGCTGGCAGATCATGAACGGTTTACACGCGCTAGCATACTTGCAATCCCCTGGTAAAACGCGCGACCCCGAATTGAATAAGAAATTCGGTTAACAGATAACAAAAAATGTTCCAGGCGAGGCCTGTATGAAAATTGAGCATTGTAATTTCACTGATAATCGTTGTATCTTGGTAGCTTGCGTCTATTGACGTTCGAATTGATTTCATATACAGTCGTTAATCGCTGTCTTCCATATATTAATGAAAAAAACAAAACAAAGTGACTAATTTTCTTATGAACACGCATTGTAGAAATGATTCTCCTCAACGAGCGTGTGTTAATTACTAGAATTGCATAGTACATACACGTTCTAAATTAATAAACATAATACGCCTTAAATATTATAATTTGTCCGAACAAAAAGTGAAATGACGCACTTCAAAGCCCCAATTAGCATAGCTACCCATTCCACGCACAGTTACTAGGCGATGATTCGTGTGGCTACAGACAGTGAGAATGACGTAAGAAGCATAAGAGAATGTAACAGTATTTGAGCGACAACAACATTTGTACTTTGCATATAAGGCATATGTCCTTAGTTGTATCACGTGGTTTCCAGAATCGTTTTAACAAGTATGAACCAATTTATTGAACGCTCACGCATAGACATGCGTAGTAACAATTATTGTCACCCAGTGAGAACAGTGCATACACTCCATCACCGCCTTATACGGTTCGAATATGCGAGCGATTTTGTGCAAAACTGAATTAAATATAGTTGAAGAACTCACCAAGGAACGTCGTTATTACGCATTTATGTGACGTCATCCGAGATTTTTCTAATTACGAACAAACGGGGTTCACGTGACGTAAACGCATTTTACAACATCAATCATCAAAACTCGATATCTGGCATGGATAACGCTTTATAGCTCTCCAGCCAGATATACAAGTTCGATCGACCCTTCCTTCGAACGTGAAATGGATCTGTCGCGTAGAAAAGCCCTTAGCTACATCATGCGCCTATTGTTCATGTCACAACTCCCTTAAAGGAAGATGCAATTAAAGAATCAGAATCGCCAATTATGGAAAACGGCTGTGGGTGTTTCTTTCCAAGAACAAATTAAAATAATTAGTTTTTTATTCATCTGCAGCAATTATTCTTGGGAGGGGCTCCTATTCTGGCATTTATTCGAATACGAATAATTCAAATTGTCAACGAGGCGGTCTCCGAAAGAGAAAGGCTAACGACTCTGACATTCTCTCCAAATAGTTTTTCAATTGTGTATATGCCGATCATATTGTTCATGCGGGTGTGAATAGGAAAAAAAAAGCAATACTACTCGAAGATTCAAAGCGACGTTCTCAGCCCATTACGGAATACACGTATACATACAATGATCTGCATGTGTGTTATAATGCTGAATCCGCGAAATAATAAAAATGACTCGAAACCCCGTGGGAAATCGGATATTTTGAGTTAAATAATTTTCAAGATTTAGCCGAGGAATTTATCGACCTCTAAAGTATTAAGTGATTTTTTTTCACTCATAAACGTTGTTTAGTGGATTGATTTTTATAAATACGTAATAAATGTGTCCACGTGACAAAAAAACAACAACATAATTCGTATAAATTCCTCACGTACACGCATAAAACATACCTAAAACAAAGTGAAAGTAAGGCACAGAATCGATGAAAATTAATTGACATTTCTGGATCTGTAGACGATGATGATATTATACATCGGTAATCTTCCCCATGGCAACGGTTACTACGTCGGTGTTGGGTGGTGCGCAGTCGCCGCAAAGTACAATAGTGTATCGAAACGCGCGTGGCTATATGTAGATTTAGATCAATCAGTGGGGTCGCATTTAGTTTTCACGGCGCTGGTGGAGTACATCGAGTACATGCACAGATTCACGTTACATACACTTTGATGCACCGTTGCTTAACAGTTGCATGACACGTCTTTCTTCTCTTCAAGGCTCGCTATCCCTACACAGGGTCACAGAAGTATTCGTCTCGCCACCAGTGATGTTGTGACTTCAAGTTACGGGAAAAGACGGATTTTCTTTTTGACTCAAATCATAAGAAACTTGTAGTACCGAAAGTACAATCATGCATGCTGTGACGAGCGCAGCCGCCACAGCTTCAAACCGGCTCACTGCGATGACCACAGCGGCCAGGCGATATCTTCCTTTCCGGAAAGAAGACGAAGACGAAACACTGCATTTTGCCCATCATGAGGAGAGAACCGAAATGACGGTGTTTGAAAACGGCACGGACGGCGCAACAACGAAAGATGAAAACAGCGCCGAGAAGGGGTTGGAAATGAACGGCGCCTTGCCACACAAGGGATGGGTGACGAAAACGGAAGGAAGCAACGAACCTATCGCGCACAGAAACATAACCAGCTGGGACGCTGGCTGGAATGTTACAAATGCTATACAGGTAATCAGTACTCATTTTTTTCCCACATACATTAATAGAAGGACATTTTTAATTCAAAATCAGCGAATCCACATTCGTAAATTAATGAAATAAAAATTGAAACAACGAAGTAGTAAAACTGTATACATCGACATTGATCAGCCAACTCAATTGATTTAGACAAATATCTTCGTTGACTTGAGTCAATTCCTTGAATCAATTATTATCAAATGAAGGCCACAACTAAGCACATTTGTTTAACGGAATGTGGCGTCGTTCGCACGAATTGCCTTTTTCAGATTATCGAGAACGACGATGTAGTTATTTGATTTGGCGCGAAATAGACATAGTAGTGGATTCCGTCGACACCTTCAACTATCAAATGCAAATCTCCGACTATAATGATCTTTTTTTTTTACATTGATATGATTACTTGTGCCTAATCAGGCGTGAGAAGCTCATCTTTTGCCGGGAAATTTAAGTCCAGGTTATTATAAGCCTGAAAAATCGTTCTCATATCACTATCTGATCGTCTGAATCTTGTAATAGCACTGAAGCGATTTAACACAAGGTTGCGTAGCCCCCCCCCCCGACAGACAAACGTGCGTTGATTACTTTTCCGTGATATCATTATTTTCGCGCGCAAATGAAATCGCTTCAATCGCAGGCAATAAAAGTATCCTGGTGCAATTTTGACCGCACCGTAAAAATAAACATTTCCCGCCTTTTCTTAGTTTATAATGTCTCATTTCCGCTGTTTGGCCGCGACTGTTAAAACTTGCAATCTTGCATGGTTGTCATGGTTTCACTCCAATAATCGCTACCTTCAGTATATATCGAATAACCCAATGACCTTTCACTGAGAAAAAATCGACGAAACAAGAAAATCGAGATCGATGGCTAGAAATGTCATACCAATATTCGTACTTAGCAAAATCGTTTCTCTGCAATTGTGCGCACTTGCAATTGAATTTATCACTGCTATAAAAGTGTTACGTGAATAAAAAGAAACACACGTTTCGATTTGGAGTCTCTCCATTTCTAAATATGTGTTTCGACATGCGCGTACAAAACAGCCGTGTATATAGTATGAAGAATTCGATTCGGCAAGGTATCGATTCGAAACACGATACTACATCTGAAGGTATTTCGCTCTCATCGTTTGTAAAGTGGCCTTACAAACAGAATCGACCATGAATCGACGATGTTTCTGTTCCCTATTCGTTTCAACTTAAATTCGGGAAGTGCAAAAAAAAGTTATAAAACATGTACCAACCTTAGGGCTTCATACTAATTTCCCCGTGTACTTATTCCTGTGGTTGTACATTTATTTACGGAGGAAAATCTCAAGAACGAGTCTTTCAACACAAACAAGTGATTATTAACCAATGTTGCGAGTGAGGAAACCGATGACCGAAAAACCTGTTTGACCACCTGCATGCAAAGCGACAGCGTTTAAAGACAGCATTTGCATAATACGTTTATGTTTTGGGGTGGGGAATTGGGGATTTGTAAGGGTTTGTAGAAATGCACGCAAACTTTCTGTGCACGATTGTGGCGCCATATATGTAATGAGTAACGGAAACACTGATGTTACACAAATTTGCTGAAAAGTAATAGCGCAAGATTCTACAAATCATCTATTTAGAGTCTCGTCCAACATGCAAGATGTGGTAAATCGACATTTCCGACAGTAATTACGCGATGTCTGTTGCAAATCGCCTTTACTATGTAAGATGTATCTGCTTGCTAATTTGCCTATTAAAACAGGATTGAAAAATATGTCCTTTTGCTTGAGTATGTTTGACTACATTGCAGCGCCACAAGTATATATGATGTGCATTGCAGCTATTCGAGTATATTTTATGTGCATTGCAGCTTTTCGAGTATATATGATTGCATTGCAGCTTTACGAGTATATTTGATTGCATTGCAGCTACACGAGTATATATGATTGCATTGCAGCTTTTCGAATATATATGATTACATTGCAGCTTTACGAGTATATTTTATGTGCATTGCAGCTACACGAGTATATATGATTGCATTGCAGCTTTTCGAATATATATGATTACATTGCAGCTATTCGAGTATATTTTATGTGCATTGCAGCTATACGAGTATATTTGATTACATTGCAGCTATACGAGTATATTTGATTACATTGCAGCTATACGAGTATATTTGATTACATTGCAGCTTTACAAGTATATTTGATTGCATTGCAGCTTTACGAGTATATTTGATTGCATTGCAGCTATACGAGTATATTTGATTGCACTGCAGCTATACTAGTGTATATGATTGCATTGCAGCTATACGAGTATATTTGATTGCACTGCAGCTATACTAGTGTATATGATTGCATTGCAGCTATACGAGTTTATTTGATTGCATTGCAGATATACGAGTATATTTGATTGCATTGGAGCTATACGAGTATATATGATTGCATTGCAGCTATACGAGTATATTTGATTGCATTGCAGCTTTACGAGTATATTTGATTGCATTGCAGCTATACGAGTATATATGATTGCATTGCAGCTATACGAGTGTATATGATTGCATTGCAGCTTTACGAGTATATTGATTGCATTGAAGCTATACGAGTATATTTGATTGCATTGCATCTATACGAGTATATTTGATTGCATTGCAGCTTTACGAGTATATATGATTGCATTGCAGCTATACGAGTATATTTGATTGCATTGCAGCTTTACGAGTATATTTGATTGCATTGCAGCTATACGAGTATATATGATTGCATTGCAGCTATACGAGTGTATATGATTGCATTGCAGCTTTACGAGTATATTGATTGCATTGAAGCTATACGAGTATATTTGATTGCATTGCAT